CCATGTGATAAGCACTCTGATGGTAGTAATCCTACAAATTGGTGCATAGATATCAAAGAAATCTATTCATTCTTTCTGAGAGAATTCTTTTACCACCAGTCTTGCTTTGTACTTCTCAATAGTATCATCAAGATGAAGCTTCTTTTTAAAGATCTACTTGCAACTGATAGGCCTTGTACCTTCAGGTACATCCACCAGCTCCCAGGTGTGATTTTGGATCAATGAATCCATCTCATCATCTATAGCTTCATTCTACAGAAGAATGTCCATTGACGGTATTACTTCTTAGAAAGTTTGTGGATCTCCTTCCATATTATAGGTGATGAAGTCATCTCTAAAATCTTTCTGTCTCCTGACACGCTTGGAAGGTGGTTTAGTAACTCCTTCATCATTAACACTTTCTGTTTCTAGCAAAACTGGCTCCTCTGGTGCTTCTAACGTACCAGTATTCTCTGCCTCCCGAGCTTTAATAATCTCTGGTGTATCTGATGTACCGGCATTCTCTAATATATCTTTGAGCAATAAACCTTTATCCTTGGTAAACTTATCCTCAAAGAATTCTGCATCCTGAGCTTTAATGACGGAGTTAGTTCCAAGGTCCAGGAATCTGTAAGCATCTCTATCTTCAGCAAAGCCAAGAAACACACACGTGTTTTGCCTTTGGTCCGAGCTTATGCCTTCTGATATCTAAAACTTGAACATATGCGAGACACCCTCACACTTTGAGATTATCCAAAGGATCTGGATATCCCAACCATATTTGATGAGGAGTACTGTCAGTTTTGAAATAGGGTACTCTGTTCAGAATCCAGTTTGCCATTAGCATAGCCTCTCCCCAATAGCAGGTAGGTAGACCAGATGTGATTAGCATCGAATTCACCATCTCGGTGAATGTGCGATTCTTCCTTTCTGTAATCCTATTGGATTACGAAAAATACAGAACAGTAGTTTCAGCAATGATTCCATGCTCTTTGAAGTATGCTTCCGACTCCTTAGATTGGTACTCTCCTCCTCTGTTGTTCCTAAGTCTTTTTGCCTGAAGTCCAAGCTTCTTCTTCACATGAGTCCGAAACTTGATAAACTTGCTGAAGGCTTCATTTTTAGATTTCAGCAGATAGACATGGCAAAAGTAAGAATGGTCATCAATGAAGGTGATGAAGTACTTCATACCACCTCGAGTGACAAATCTCTTGAAGTCATAAGTGTTTGAGTGAATCAAATCCAAAAGGTTGGTGCTCCTTGTGACGCTTGGAAAGAGCTTCCTTGTCAGTTTCTCTTGCGCGCAGACTTCACACTTCTCAGGTTTGTTACCCCCAAATTTTAGAAGTAATCCTAACTTCTCAATGCTAGACAATTTTCTATAATTTACATATCCCAGTCTATTATGCCATAACACAGAGGAGTAAGCAGAAAAGGATATTTCATTTATAACTGAGTTGGGTACAATAGTGCTGATCTTATACATGTCATTAATACGATATGAATTTTCAAAATACATTTTCTTAAAAGATAGTATAGCCTTTCCTCCTTGAAAATCTAGCCTCATACCTGCGTCACATAGCAGACTTCTAGAGACTAAGCTTTTGGCAATTGAGGGAACATGTTTCACATCCTTCAATGTGAGAGTCTTCCTTGAAGAGAGAGTCAACACCATAATCCCAGTTCTAAGAATATGCACTACAGAATGATCAACCATTGATATGTTCTCTTTGGTAACAACATAAGAAAAGAACAAATCTCTGTTGGAGCAGACATGACAGGTGGCACCTATGTCTAACCACTAACCAGATATGTTGTTCGGAGTTGTCACCTGAAATAGCATAGCCACATAATTATCAACTTGATTAACATTGTGTGTTGTTCCCTTCTTTGGTGCTTTGCAGTACTTGGCAAAATGTGCTTGCTTCCCACAGTTGAAGCCACAAGAGACTTCAGACTCAGAATCTTTTTCAGAGTCGGGTTTCTCCTCAGAAACCACATAGTAGATTTTTAGGAGTTACATTCCGAAAATCACTTTTCGACGCCATGCGTTGAAGTTGGATCCGTTAAAGTTCTCTAACTTAAGAAAATCTACTCCAAGTGTTCTCGCAGGATCCATTGTAGAACAAAAATATTGCTTTAAGATTGTTGTCAACTATGGCTAAATCTGGAATAAAACAGATAAATCTGTTAGGGAGCTGAAGTGCTATATTTTAAAACTTTTTCAAGTTTAGTTTCTGTGTATTTATGAAACGCTGTGCTTAAAACAATATTTGGTCTATTCCGGTGCAAGGATCCCAAGGTTAAATTTCTTCCAGGAACAACAGTACAGTATACTGGTGTGTACCGACCAAGTATTGTTAAGATCTTCTCGATCTATAAGACCTTTCGGTCAAGGCAAATATCTCCTCGATCTGTTAAACCTTTTGGTTCAAAAACCATTCAGTTAAAACTTTTCGATTCAGGCAAAGATCTCCTTGATCTGTTAAAACCTTTCAGTTCAAAAACCTTTCGGTTAAAACCTTTCGGTTCAGGCAAATATCTCCTTGATCTGTTAAAATCTTTCGATTCAAAAACCTTTTAGTTAAGACAAAGATCTTTCGGTCTGTAATAATCTTTCGGTTCAGGGCTCTGTTCCTTCAGGAACAAACTAAAGCTTGCACGCTTTCAAACTCTGCAGCAGCAGCACAACAACTTAAATACTTCAATGTGTTTTTCGTATCACCAAGAGCTATCCCTAAGCGGAACTATTTATAGGTCTCTAAGGCCAGCTCAAGGGTCGCGTTGAGCCTCGTGAACGCGAGGGTCGCGTCGAGCCTCGTGAACGCGAGGGTCGCGTCGATCCTCATGAACGCGAGGGTCGCGTTCCCTCTCACAAACGCGAGGGTCGCACCCTTACGCGAACGCGAAGGTCGCGTTCCCTCTCGCAAACGCGAGGCTCACTTCCTCATGTGAACGTGAGAGTCACGTTCCCTTGCTGCGAAGCAGCCTGCGTGGCGGCCACAGTGGCAGCCAACGTGGCGCCACCTAGCTCTGATGTCTCCGTGCGAAGTACAAAGTGCGCCTTACAAAGCGCCACTTAGCACCTTAGTTCGATTAGCCCCGATCCCCGGCCCATTGGTCCACGAGCCCACAGGCCCACGACCCACTAGAACTTATGAGGGATTAATTAAATAAAAATAATTCTCAGTTTGCCATTGGTAAGCCTCGAACACATGACCTTTTGAAATAACAAAACTTTAACTTTCCGCTATGCTACTAAAGATTTCTAAAAAATACCAGTAATTAATAAATACATAGTTTAAAAACTTATTTTTAGAAAGCGGTTTTGACCAAAAAATCCAACATACGCTACTTGTTGGATGACTTTTTGAACTTTTTGTTTAATTTGACCCATTTTAGTATTTTTGGTGTTAGTTGTGGGAATCATGAAGGATTTCAATTTGGTGTCGAGTTTCTAAAGGATGTGTCCTAGTTGAAGTATGGTCTATTCATAACTTAGTATTACTAAAGTAACCTTTTTAGAATTTGTTAATACATCTCAAGTTAAAGTTTGTTGTTCACAGGTGTTTCGCTAGTAGTGTATATTTTTCTTAATAATTTGCTATGTACATTCAATTTGGTGCTTTTATGTGAACATTATGTAGGTGCCAGGAGCAAACTTTTGTTATTTCGAGCTTCCACCTTCGTGAAACTCATCTTAAGTCCTACAAATTGGCAATATCTTAGTAGTAAATTATTGTTTCGTTTTGGGTAATATGAGTTTATGTTTGGTACTTTTGGATATTGTTGCTTCTTTAGATTTCTTATTTGGATTTGTTAAATTTTTTTGGATGCAAGCTGTATCGAATAGGATCGATAGGTTGTTTCTTCAGATTTCTTATTGTCAGGAACTTGATTAATATGTGCACAATTTATCTACATTTTGTTGCACATTTTTTAGTTACTTTGTTTTAGTTAGGAGTTAGCAATAACGAATGAAGTATTACATATGAGCCTGAATGATTGTGTGACATCCAAAACAATTCAGTTACTTTGTTTAAGTTTATAACACATCTTCTCCTTGATGTTCAATGAAAAAGATGCACTTGACCAGCGTTGCTGTGATGTGATTATGCTCTTGAATTTCTATAATTGTCTGTTTAGTAATTTACTTGCGTTTTTGTGGATTCAAGTTTTTCTCGCCAATCTTACTCGCTCTGTGAGTAAATAGCTACCTTAATGTTCTAAGAAATATACTAGTGTTTGCAATAATTTCAAATGTTGGGGCTTATCGGAAAGTAGATTTAGAAATATGCAATAATTTCAAGGGTTAAGTGACATTTCCAAACTTTTCAAGGTTTATCTCAAGTGGGCCAAACTTTTCAGGGGGTTTTGTGAAATTTATCCTAACTTTTACCTCAACTTAAACCATAATATCCGTATCTGATTTAAAGATTGAGGAGTTAAGAGTACACATAAATTTTCTTAAAACGCCAATTCCGAATCCAAATTTATGTATAATAAAGTGCATTTAAACACTAGATTTTGAATCTTTGATTTCAAACTCTTGTATTTAGTGAAGACATTCAAACGAAAGATTCTATCAAATCACGGATTTCAAACCCTATATTTAAAATCCTTTGATTTTAAATCAAGCTTCCAAATCCAAATCTTAGTTCCCAAACATAGCCTTAGAGGTTCTTGCATATATGTACCCCCTCGGAATTTTCATATATGCAAATTTATTCTCTAGATCTTTAGATTAGCAATTATCCTAAATTTTCTCATATTGGATTTTCTTACCCTACAACTCAATCATGTTGGTTTCTAATTAGTTTCTAATTAGTACAATGTCAAAAAAATTCCAATATGTTTATAGTATTTTCAAGTTTAATAAATAAAACTGTAAATACCTAATTTTAGAGGATAAATTTGTAAACATGAAGTTTTTGAGGGGTCTACATGCAAAAACACCACATTTTTTATGGGTTGGTATCCCAAATCTAACATGTATTTAAATAAGCTGCCCAAATATCAAATATTTTAATAAACAAAATAAGAACCCAAACAAAGCAATCCTTCCCTTTGTGCCCCCATTTCCATGGCATCGGAAGTCCGTCGCCACCGTCGGAAGTCCTCGAGGGCTGCTATCATCTTCAGATCTCCGTCAAATGGTACATCTCTCTCTGTTCAAACAAGTAAAAAAAAATAGGCAAAATTTTATAATAAACTCGTGTAAAATGAAGGAGGAAGTGAGGGGAAGAAAAAAAGTATATGAGGGTTTTGTGAAAGATTACAGTTGGATTTCGTTTCGCCCTAATTTTTTATTTCCCCCTAATTTTTGTCCCAAATACGACGAGCTGTTTTGTTGGATTTCCTTGTTAGGTTTAATTCATTTCGCCCCTTTCCCTAATTTTCCCTGATTTCTCTAATGGCGAATGAAGCAAAGTGTTCATATTTCTTTAAGAGCATAACCCTTTTCTTTTGAAAGATACTATTAATTTTTATTTCTTTACGGTGAAGTAGAATGCATTTATCTTATTAGTTCTTACATTAGGATTTTTTTTGAGTTTTTTTTATCATCATTATTTCATTTTCCTTTTTTCCATCGCCGGGTGAACTTGGTAGTATAAAGGGTTGTACATGAGTTCAAACTAGTTCTGATCAATAACTCAAAACGGTGTTTTGAAAATGGTTTTCGAGAAACACACAACACCATTATGTTTTTTTAAAAAAAACAAAACAAGGAAAACACCATAATATTCAAACATACTCTTAGATTTTGGGGGACTTATTAAAACTTTATGAAATACAGGAAAACTATTTAAGAGAAATTCTAAAGTTGGAAGATTTATTAAAAATATATATTTTATTTGAGAGATTTATAGAAAATTTCTCAAAACAGCGATGAATATTTTGCACAAACCTCTACACTGCATCCAACTGATTCAGCTCCTTCGCTATCCTCAGGTACCCTCTCCCCCCTCTTCATCCTTCGATTCCCTCTCAAAACCATCGACGACCGTCCGCTCTCCTTTCTCCGAAACCTAAACGCCCAAATTCACCTCGAGAATCACTCTAACTGATCACAACGCTCCTCAACCTCAAGGCCAGATCCACCTCTGTCCATCTGACCGCTGAGATCTTTCGTCAGTTCCTTTTAGTTCTTTTCATTTTGCGCGAAGAATGATGGACCTAGGTCCACGATGGAGCCGTTGGATTTGGCGAGTGATAGTTTTGTGAGGTTTGGGTTGGGTTTTTGATCTTGATGGTTTAAATGTGTTGCTGATGCGTTTAGTTTGTCTTATATTAGAGTTGCTAATTTGTTGTTTAATTCCATCAGGTGATAATGAGGTTAATGGTGGTGGGTAGGCTAGTCTTCTCCCGGATTTGTTTTTTGTGTAGGCTACATTTGGCTGAATTGATGAGATCGAGAGCTTTCGGGAGATGATGAGCGGCGACATGCCCTGTGATAGGATGACCTGGGAGGATAGATAGTATCCTTCACCTATTTGAGAAGAACTGCTTCGCTGTAGTCCGGGTTGGAAACTTGTGAAATATCGATAACAGTTTGATTAATGCGTGCTTGAAAGTGAGAGAAACAGATGGTCTTCAGACTGTTTGATGAGATGCTTGGTCAAGGAGTTTTCCTTGATACGGGGATGATGACCTCTTTTTCATCCTTGTATTAGCTTTGAGCCACCTCATCGTGCTATGACATTTTTTTTGCAAAAAAGTAGTGAAATCTTATAAACTATTGGTATCGAGAGGTCTGGGCACTCTGGGGAATCTTGGTTGTGTTGAAATTTGAGAGGAAATGCAAGATAATAGTTATGGTTTTGATAAAGAGATTCACGAGTATAGTGATGCGTTTTGCAATATTTTAGAAGTTGACAATCTGAGCTTGTTGTAGAAGAGGTATTTTGAGAAGATTGTCTATAGGCAAGTTAGATAACAAGTTTGTTAGGGGGGGGGGGGGGTTGAATAGGGTCTTATGCTAATCTAATCCGATTTTATGCTAATTAAAACAAATTATTCTTGCAAGATAGATATACAAGAGTTATGTGCAAGAATAAACAATATGAACAAATGGATATATCCTAGCAAAGAGATATATTATGAGATATATATGTAAGGATATGAAACTAAGGGTGATATAAACATAAACAAGATAAACAAGATAGTGGATAATATAAACTAAAAGCAAATGACAAATGCGATATAAACAATAAGCATGAATGTAAAAGAACGCCAATGACAAACTCAAACAATCAATATGATCACGGAGTTCGGTCCCCACGACTTACGTCTCCGCTCCTCACCTCGAGGAGATCTTCACTATCGTCACACCCGGTTTGGAAGCCGGAACTTCACTACACACTCGGTTTTCTAGCTAACCGAAAACTCTACAACACTCACAATGTATACATACTAACTACCACCTCAAGTATTGGTCTCTAGCCCGTATCTCCCTCAAGTGCTCGGATTTACTACCTCTCTCTAGGCTTTTACTACCGACGTCACTCCTCTTGGGACAACACCGTCTCTCACCACACACTCCTCTCAGTGTACTAGTGTAATACAATGTGATCTCACAATTTAGGTTCACAATACAAATAAATTGTTCTCTATAATAGATGAGAACTCAATTTAGCACAACTCAATGTTGCAATCTCTCACAATCCCAATTATACTATGTATGTAAATACTAAAAGCTCAAGTGGGTGTGTGTAACAATGAGAAAAATCAAATCTAAACTCAATATAAAAACTAGCTTTGATAAATGATAATTAAACAAATGAATATAAAGCTAGATATAGAGTTTAGAAAACTTCTTCAATGGATGACAAGAGAGAGGGAGATGAATTGAAGCTTTAAACACCAAAAGATTATCTTCTCAAGTTCTTGTGAAAATATCTTCACAAACCAAACTCTTAAACTCACTTAGAAACCCTTAAACAAACTTATAAAACTCTTTAAAACTTTTCTCTTTGTTAGTGGGAGAGTTGAATACAATGAGGTATTTATAACAACCCAAAACATCAGCCAAAAACACTCCAAAACAAAAACTAGCCGTTTCTAGCCGTTATAGGGGGAAAAGACCAAAATACCCAAAATCCAGCATACTGAAAATTTACGTATCTGGTTTTGTAAAATCAATTAAAAATAATAAATTAACTTTAAAAATTATGAAATTTTGACGGAAGTATCTAAACATGTAGAAAGACATGTCAGAGAAAGAATTTATTAAATATCACTTCCTATTTGTGAGAAATAATTATTTGAACACAGATATACAGTTTTCGAAATCTGCTGACATACACGATTTTGTAAAATCAATTGGGCACAGTAAAAAAACTCCAAAAATCATGAAATTCTGAGGGAAGTTTCCAAACATGTATATAAACATGTCAGAGAAAGAATTTATGAAATATCACTTCCCATTTGTGAGAAATAACTTTTTTTAACAAAGATATACAGTTTCTGAAAAACTGCTGAAAACTCATTTTTGTAAATTCAATTGAAAATAACAAAACAAGTCTAAAATTAGTAAAACTTGGGGAAATGTTTGTATATATGAATATAAACATGTATACAAAGGAATTTTTTAAATTGTATTTCCCAATTGTGAAAACTCATCTGTTTTGTAAAAACATGCACAAACATGAACTTTAAACATGCACGAACAAAACTTGTTAAAACTTGATTTTGACAAATTCATTCCAAACAAGTTTCAAAACACTTTCCAATAGGTTTATAGACTTGATAAAAGATATATTATCGTGTTAATAAGTCTATAATCCAAAACAACAATAAATCAAAATAAACGTGTGTGTGTATGAAATTGAGCTTGAAGTATTGAACACACATAATATAACACCTAAACTAATTTACCAAAGCTTGTGATCTTCAATGAAGCTCTTCTTGGTAAACATTACGGAAGAAGCTTGAACTTGGATCTTAACTTGAATGCATAGGCTTCACTCCACTATTCCGTCAACCTCCATTGAATATGATCGTTGATGTTCTATTCCATCCATCCTCCAACTTGTTGTTTGTCTATAATAAATAAAAAAACCACAGACACTAGACAAACAACGTTAGTGATAAATTGTTTGTTAAACATCATCAAAACAAGAAGGCCAACAGTTGGCTGAGAGGAATAAAGGTATATGCAGAATTGCCAAAATTCTCAAGAGGTATTTTGAGTGCAGTTATCTTATCCAGCTTCTTTTTTGTTCAAGATGCCTTTTGATATTGTTATCTTAGGTTTAACATTTATTTTTCTCTTGAAGATATCCAACATGTTTAAAAGAAACAAGGAAAGGGGGAGAAGAAAAATATTTGCTGACTTCATGCCATGTCGTGTGTTTGTTATTTGGTGAATACTTCACTTGATCTGTTTTCAATGTAATTAATTCATCCAATTCCAAATTTCTCGAGCATTTTAAGGATCCGTAAAACTATTATAATATGCTGTAAAGCTTCAAATTGCACCCTTCATATTGACTTAGATGATTCATGCCTTAAATTAACCATCATGACATATGGCAATCCTTGCTTTTCTAGATCTTCCCTGACTTGTGAACTTTTGGCCTTTATCAAACAATTCCTGACTTCAAACTTATGATCTTGACAGTAACTCCATTATAATTGTCAATGCATGAGTGAGGATATCAAGTACGTGAGAAAGGAGTACATAAGGGTTTAGTGTTTTTGTTGTGCATTTGATTGTCTATGATGTGTTTGTGGTTAGTAGTTTGGTAGGATTGAATCAACATGGTTTGGATCATAGTTGAATCTACTATAAACTTGACGATACGTTATCAGAAAGGGCTTACTAAGTATGTAAGTAAAGGGTTCTAAGTGGAAGGATATGAATGAAATCCACAAGAGACCATGAAGAGTGGTCACAGAGTTCCTGATAGAAATTAAGAGGTAAACTTTTCAGAAGCTGAACTGTTATTCTGTTCAGCAATTTTTTTTTAAATTAAGTCAAGAAAATCACTCAATTTAGTTATTGGTTCTTATACGCTGATGCTATTCTTGGATAATATTAACTGGTTCAAATGGGCATCATATGACCAATACATCTCCCCTAGAAATCTAACAATTTTTTTATTTTACTGTCTAGCTACATTCTTCATGTTTTTAATGTCTTACTTTACAATTTAGTTGTCATTCTTCATGAAATTAGCTGATACTGTTTCACACCATTTTTTCTGAGCAATTATATAACTATTTGGTATGTCACATTTACTTAATATCTACTTGTTAATTTCCAGTATTACAAGCTTGATATGCATGTCGTAAGTAGCCATTAAAATTCTTCTATGTTCTCGTTTAATATAGATTGCATGCTTAGAGATCATTTTGCACCAAGTTGGTTGCTTGCTCAGAAATCATTGTGCACCATCTACACGAGGCTAACAAAGAAGTTTAGTGAAATATGTATTTTGTCTGAACATAAAATGCTATGTTCTAATTTAATTAAAATTTGGCAATGCAGGCTGTTAACTGATTCATGAACAAGGGCAGACCCAATTTGATAAAACTCTTCAGCTGGCATAGCCATGCCTCACTTCCTTCTTTCAAAATGCAAGTACAGTTATCATCATCATGACCGGTCCCAGAAAGAACTATCTCAAGCAATTGATATTCATGATATTTCCATTGCAAAGAACTGGATGCTGGTTATTTTATCATACTTCGGCACCCTTTTATTGATAGCAAGTACCTGTTATTTGTTAGTGATGAAGGTTTGTTGTACTCATTGTCTGCTTTTTATTTCAGTAAATTTTATCAATAGCTTTCTTATGGTTCTTATCTCCATTAAACAGTTTATAGGAAGAAACCTGTGAAAGGTGGTCTGTTAGAAATGTTCTTTAACAAGCTTTGTGCTCTCATATTGTGACATTAATTCATTGCACCATATGCAATTACCAGGAAATGTTACAAGTTAGTTCCATTTGGAGCATCTTTGTGGTTATTATCTTTGCCAAATTGTTGCAGTACAAACCTGTTAAAAAAGGTCAGTTTTCTAAAATCTTGCTCATGGATGCTTTGAAGTGCTTAATGAGTATACTTTGACAAAAATGAATGGTGCATTGTGTAAAGTGATATAGCTGTTTTCTGTTGCATGCATTACCCTTTTTGTAGCAACATCTATATGGAGTGATGAGTAACATTCTTTTGTACTTTATTGACATTTTTTTATTTCACACTTAATGATGTTTACTCATTTTCCTTTGGGCTGTTAGTTCTATTATCGTGCACTTTTTAGTTGTCACAAACCGAGGATAGAACAACAGTGGGTGTCAGTAATCCTATCCTTTCCCCTTTGGGACACAAAAGGCTGAAGCCTGAGGGTTCTTTTTTTTCTCTTTAAACATGAGTGACCGTGGAGCATGAAGGACAACTGAGAAAATAGCTATGTTTTTAACGTCTATCTGAAAAACCTAACATCAAATTTAATGATGCTAATGCTTCTGTGCTAAAATTATTCGCATACTGTAGTTGTAGAGAGGAAGACAGGAAAAGGGCGGAGAATCGTCTAAAATAATCTTCATCAAACTGTTGGTTAATTTTTTTTAATTTGTCAAATCATTTTTTCCATCAGCCGATAAGCCATATTTTCCATGTGAAGTCAACTCCTGAGGACTATTTATTGTCATCATCATTGAGTTTTTCCCCTATCAATTTAAGGTCGACTACTGCCAATGGATCACAAAGCTTTATGTTCAATCTCTAATTATTATGTCTTAATTGGTTCCTTAATGTTCTTGAAAATACTTTTCCTTCTAGACTATCTGCAGGTTCTTTACTGGCAATGTTAGCAAGCCATGGGACAACATCTAAAAGTACCAAATGAAGAAAATACTTTGATTTGTGAAGGTTGTTAAATGGAAGGTTCATATTGAGCCCATATACGTCTCTATGAACGTTATGTTCCTTTGATTCCAAAGTATTAGAATGTGTAATCAACTAACATAAAGCAGCAAGTCTATGTAAGGAATACACGGAGTAGGAAGGACTAGGGATAAGACTTAAACTGATGCTGATTGAAGCAATGGAGAGGATGGGCCCTTAATGGAGATGATTGGAGAGAAGTAGTTTTCATTTAGTCAACACCAAAAATCTGGGATAACGACTTTGTCGTTGTTGTATAATCAACCAATAAAATAATATGGTAATGCTAGTGTCAGTATTCTTTAGTGGCACACACCTGGCATGTACCTTGTCATTAAAATACGAACTTAGATGCAATAAAGGACTAGGGATAGACTTAAACTGATGCTGATTGAAGCAATGGAGAGGATGTGGCCCTTAAGGAGATGATTGGAGAGAAGTAGTTTTCATTTAGCCAACACCAAAAATCTTGGATAACGACTTTGTTTTTGTTGTATAATCAACCAATAGTATGGTAATGCTAGTGTTAGTATTCTTTAGTGGCACACACCTGGCATGTACCTTTGTCATTAAAATGTTAACTTACATGCAAGAAAAATGTAGTCACGACATACTTGACTTCATCTAGTAGAATTCATCTTTAATTTAATAACTATCCACTACAATGCTTCAGTAGTTTTGTGTAATTTGCTTAACATCAACTGACACTTCATTTTTCTACTTTAGTTTGCCTGTGTGTCACAACAGGTAGAATGATATGCTTGATGAGATGGTATTAACTTCAGATATGGTTTCCTCTATTTGCTTAACATATTTTCCCCTCCCAAATCATGCAGAGTCTGTTGTGATTATGCCAGAATTTGGGGTCCAGCTGGAAACTCACTATTGGAGGTATATTTATACTGGGGCACATTTTTTCCCTAAATCATGCAGAGTCTGTTGTGATTATGCCAGAATTTAATTGGGGAAGTTTTATGTGCCCTTCAATTCATAGGTTTTCTACCGTGTCACACTTGACACTTGAATATATTCTGGGTGTATGGTTGAGGCTTTGAGACTGTCTTAAAATGTGTACCCGTTATGTCTATGCTTAGATTGCAATGAGTAGACATGTAACTACTTTATGATATTCTGGATCAGATGGATTAAGTGGATTACTCATTCGATACATAAAAACATCTTTGCATGTACATAAATGCAATGGGTAGCTGGGATATTATGCTGGATTCTCAGAGGACTCTGTTCTGTGGTACAACACTTCAGTGTCAACTCTTTATATCCACATCATGTCTTGGAGTAATACTTATTCTTTCATTTTTGGAAAGGGCAACTATGTAGATGGTAGTTTTCTAGTTTTTCTACTCTTTTGTGTGGGTAGGTTGCACTTGTAAATGTGCATGTGAGTTTTGCATGGTGGTATTGAGGCAATATCAATTGCACATAGGGCAATTTTCCCAACCATAACAACGACAAGGACTGCAAACTACAGCCAGTTCATCTTTCACTCGAGTAATCATGCATGATACTTGAAATCACATCCACAAGCCCATCTAGTTGTTGGACTGCAAATGCTAGGGGCAAACAAACTAGAATCTAGACATTATGCCTTAGAAGTGGTTTTCTCTTTTATGTTGCGTTAATTTCAGATAGACCCCCTGTAGTGTCCTTGTTTGTGAACTTACTACCCTCTAACCCGCTGAGTGATTTTTTTGGCTCTTTTACTCTCGAAGAAAATTGGTTCCCACAAATGAACCCCATAAGGGTAAAAGAGTCAAAATTTCAATCATGCGTCTAACAGCAAAAATAAAACTAGAAGGGTTGGAATTTCAAAACAACAATACTACATGGGGTCTATCTGCAATTAACCCAAAGTCTTAGATATGTTTGTGATGTCTGGTACACTTTTCTGTTATCTTTTAAACCTCTTTCTGAATCTTTTCTTGTGCTTTCTTATTAAGACTTGGAGCTTTCTTACTAGTTCCATCTGATGATAATCCCTGATGAGTGTATTTGATATCTAAAGATTGTAGTGTCTGGAAGAGGCTATGCTTAACAGTCTGATATGACTTGGTTGTTTTCTCCTTAAGGGAATGATTTGCTGCTCATTCTATTATCTGTCCTCTCGTCTACCATCTTTCGCAACTTAACATGTCATCTCGATCTGTAGCATTCATATTTTAATTTTCTCATTTGATGGTTCTGAAAGTGTGTCGTCCTTTTCTTTAACCTAGTGGTAGAATCAGCCGCCGTTTTGTCCCCATTGGGAAGATTCTTAGACCAGTAATAAATGAATGTGTAACCCCCATCACTTGTTACTGGACCTTGGCTTTGATTGTTCGTGAGGAGGAACAACTTCTACTAGTTTTTCAGGTAAAAGATGGGTTCTGAAGATCAACTAGTAATTGAGTTACTTCCAACTTGCTGACTTTAATCCCCTCTGCAGGAATTGCAACCACCTCTCAAAATGCTGGTTCCAGTCTGGAAGGCTCTTTGCGCTGCCACTGATTGCAATGAATCAAGCTCCTCGTGAAACTGGTAATTTATGTCAGGCCTTAAATTGAATTAGCTATAATCAACAATCTGCACATGCTTAGGATCATTTATTAATAGTGACAAGTGACCACCATTTAAAAAAATCTGAGTAGTATTTATATATGTATCTTTACAGTGCTATATCAATGCATGAGCGCATATCTCCGTAAAACCTAACGATGTTGGGATGTTCACGCATGGCATCATTGTGACGTGGAAAATTGGCATATGGAGCGTTGCAGTTTGGTTTAGCGTCTTACTCGTACTTCTTGCCAGGTAACGACTCAAGCTCACCTTATCCGTGTCCTCGGAAGGCTGAGTCAATCATGGCCCTCTTGTCCGCCTGTTCAATGATGTCTAGATCCTAAAGCTAATCTATGGCCGTAGACCCGGCGCAGGTGACAAGTCCCACTGCATGCGGGTTCAATCATCTTTAGTTGGCAGGTTCAGTGATCATCTATGATATTTTGTTTTGATTGGGAAAGTTGTTCGTTATCAACTCAAAGCCGAATACCACCAATTTGCCTATAAATGCTTTCTATTCTGGATATAACGGGGTGAATATATATATATATATATAACATCATCCTTATTATCACATGGATATCATTGTGGAATTTTAAATGACGTGAACAATCCGCAGCTCAAAATGTCAGGATTGACTTATTATTCGTTCTTCTTTGTTTTCCTTCATCAATATGCACAGAAAAATAGTAATTCTGAAAAAGGTCCATGTAGAGCTTACTCTGATTTTAATTACACTTCGTATCGGTTGTTATGTATTTTATTTACAGCTAGGTTGACACTTGCGTCTATAGTGAAGTTTGAAATAGGTCTATGTATTTTATTTACAGCTAGGTTGACGCTTGCGTTTATATTGAAGTTTGAAATAGGTCCATGTATAGTTTACATGATTCGGTATGGTGAATAAATGGCTTTGTCTTCAACTTCACTTTGGCTATTCAGAGGCTCAATTGTTCAACTAGTCCTCGCACCTAGAAACCAGGTGATACAGAAGAGTAACAAATCGTAGATAATATTATCTAAAATCTCAGAATAGATTGATTTCAGTAAATTAGAAAGATTTTATCTCTTTCCTTAGTTAGATTTCTTTTTCTTTCAAGAAAAAGTTAGGAGAGATCTCAAAATAAATTAGGAGAGATTTTAGATTTTTTTTCTTAGTTTAAATTTCCTTTTCTTCAATGCAGGGTTTAGATTTTCTTTTTATCAAGGAAGTGTAGGCCTATTTAAAGGCACCCAATGTTCTCATTTGGAACAATTGTTTTAAACATTCCCGACATGGCCTGATATATCCCTCAATGTATCTCTATATAGCGCTTGTGTCAACGGATTTGGTCTCTAAATATCCTTTACCGCTTTTTGGCAATTTTGGGTGATATATCCCTGATATGGCTGATATATTAGCCGATATGTTGACCAATCTATTCTTTTATATAGCTTGTTGCAAAATAATATATTGTGTTTGATAATTTTGCGCGAGATATCATGATTTTTTTCATTATATCAAATGACATTTTCGCCTAAAAAAATTTAGATGAAATGTTGTAATATTGATTTGTACATTTGTTTGCTCTACAAGGTTGATTAGTGGTCCTAAACATATATTACTTACATTTCAGATGCTTAGTTTTTATTAAGTATGTTGAGATTACAATTTAGTGCATTATACTATATATGCAATATATTATGACATTTCGATATGTACCACACCCCTGATTTTTCCTCGATATCCACAATCTGATATGAATTTTGGCCATTTGATATTTCTCAGATATCCGATGTTTAAAACCTTGCTTGAAATAATGAATATTATTATTATAATCTAGAGGTTTTTCTCTTTCAACTAGTGGATTCCAACGTTTGTGGATTCAAACGCGCCGTGAATTTGAGATTATCTTCGCTCGTAGAATCAGGCAAACACATCCGCAGACTTTTTGGTGGCATGAAACTATCAACCCATTCTTCTGCCACTTCAGGTGGTATCAGAGCGACAAATTTCTAATTCGTGATGGCTTGTAACAATCCCATCCTCCCTCCTGAGTTTGAAATTCTACAACAAAAGGTCGACACCATGTTGCGAAAGGTTGACACCCGACACTATTTCAGATCAAATGGCTCGACCCTGAGCGATAATGGAGAATTGAAATAGTGAGGATCTAGGTCATCAACAAGAAACTCTTCTAGCAAGGAGGCTTTAGCCTAATCATTGTCAAACAACTCCAAATCCTTCGGAAAGCAAGAGTGACGAAGAATAGCTCTAACAAGAAGAAGAGGAAGAAGAAGCACATGATGCCAATCTTGCAGAGAAAGCCGAAGAACAACTCCACGATAGGGTAAGTTTCAAAACTCCAACCTACTCAAGAGGGCAATCGGGCTGTAACACTTGGAAATAGCCACAAAATCAATCACAAAGGTGTCGACTAGCGAGAGGAGGATGAAAGGAGTTCTAGTAGTGCGAGGAAGACACCGGTAGAGGCGACATTTTCAAATACAGTTCTGCCACCTGGAGTTCAATTTTCCAACAATCCTTATGCTAGGCAGTAGGGTGATCACTGCTACCGTTGTGAGCACCAAGGACACTGCTCCAATGCTTGTTCAAAATGAGGATTGGCAAATTATGTAGATAACAAAGGAGATGGAAGGGATGGATAAGATCTTTATTTGAGGGTGATCCTGTAGAAGAACATGCAAATGGAAGGTAATCATCTCTCCTGTGGTTGTGCAAAGACTCTTGTTCGTTCCACAGGTTGAAGCAGGCCTACAGGACCACAACATCTTTCAAAACAAGATGCACAGTCCAACAAAGGGCGTGTGATGTCATTATTGACAATGGATATAGTGAAAACATCATGTCCGGAGATATATTGCCAACAAATTGGGGCCGCCGACAAGATTGGATGGATCCAAAAGGGACATAACATGACTTTTTACGGAGGTTTGTTAAAATCTTTTTTTCTGTTGGAAAGTCTTTTTCTGATGTTATTTAGTTTGATGTGGTGGACATGGATGCGTGTCACCTTATTTTAGGGAGGGAGGCCTTGGCAGTTTGATTTGGGGGTTCTATAGGATACCTCTTATGCCATTATTCGGGTCCGAACGATCCAAAGCTTCTATGATAGAAACAAAGTCTATTCTTATTGTGGACAGTGGAGAGGTCAAGGAGTAAAGGTTCCAGGAAGAAGCATTGCCGCGGAACATATGGTGAAACACTACCAACAGATACATGACGAGGTGCGCCAAATGACGAGGTGCGCCAAAGGCTTCAAGAATCTAGTACTTGATATAAGAGAATGGCGAACTGACACCGATGGTAGAAGGTGTTCATGGAGGGAGACTTGGTGATAGCGTATCTTCCCAAGGGGAGGTTCCCAGTTGGCACTTACAACAATCTTTTTGACAAGTATGGACCTTTTCAAAATTTTCAAAAGATCAATGACCACGCATACATCATCATGATTTACCAGAGGATATGAATATTTTAGAAATATTCAACATCACTGATTTATTTGAGTATTTCTTGCCGCGGGTGATGGCATGTAGCGCTGTACTTGAGGGTTCTCTCCCAAGAAAGGGAGTTTGATGCAGTAGAGTAAGAAATCTTTGATAATATAATCTTAAATCTCAGAATAGATAGACTTCAATTGTTGGGAATTTTACTCGTCGGGGCTACGCAAAACCCCTAAAACAGTATAAACGCGGTATAGAGAAAATACACCAAGATTTAACGAGGTTCGACAACTGCCTACGTTCTCGGGAGCCACACGATAAATTTCTTATTAATCAACAAGAAATTACAAAACAGAGCAAATCTTAAATTGAGATCTCTCAATAAATACAAAGGCCAACACTGTAGCTACAGTGCTCCTCTTAAACTCCCACTTAATTTTCTCCCCTCTTTAATCTAAGAGAGCTGGAGATAATAATCTAGAGCCCCTCTTTAATTTCCTCCTCCTAAAATTCTCCACCCAATTATCGTGAGAGCTGGAGAAAACAGAGCTGGAGAAAACAAAGAAGAGGAGCGGGCGGGGGGGATCGCCGTCGCTGAGAAATCGCCTGAGTGAAGCATAGGGGCTAGGGCACATGGTTTCCCTTTTATAGGGAAACCCTAGGATAGCTGGCAAAGTCGCTGAGAAATCGCCTGAGTGAAGCATAGGGGCTAGGGCACATGGTTTCCCTTTTATAGGGAAACCCTAGGATAGCTGGCGACAGGTTGTCGTTGCCTGTCAACGATCTCGCCTACGAGGAGTTCGAGCTCGCTTGTCTCTTGTTGAACTCGCCTGCAAGAAGTTCTCCAATCTCGCCTGCAACTTGTCGCGAGCCCGCCTGGAGATCGCCAATTCGACCTCGCCTGCTCGAGCTCGTCCAACTTCGCCTGAAGCTTCTCGCCTTCAAATCTTTCCTGTTGGTTTCCTCGAGCTCGCCTGAAGGTCGTGAGCTCGCCTGCAGCTGCGGATTTCGCCTTTAAGGTTTGGTCGACACTCCAATTCCAACAATCTCCCACTTGGAGACCAAACCGACGTCAGTATGTTATCTCAACAAGTATCTCCTTCTGTGTGGCTCCGCCCTCATCACTTATGCATGAAGGCCAACTGAAGTTGCGCACAACTCCAGTTTCTGAATGGTCACTGTTTTGTTAACATATTTGCTTGATTCTTACTTCCTGGAATCTTCTCCAGTTTTAACACGTCATCTTCCAACAGGGATCTGATGAAGTGGTACCGAAGCCCAATATGCTTCGTTTTAGAATGAAATGCGGAATTCTTAGTCAAGTGAATCGCACTCTGACTATCGCTGTACAGGACATTCCTCTCCTGTTTGAATCCTAGCTCTGTTAACAAACCCTGAAGCCATATCATCTCTTTACTGGCTTCAGTCATTACAACATACTCAGCTTCTGTAGTGGATAGAGTGATAATCTTCTGTATCTGTGACATCCAACTAACAGCTGTAGTTGCAACAGTGAATACATAGCTGGTAGTGCTTCTTCGGTGATCGACTTCACCTCCAAAATCTACATCTACGTACCCTTGCACTTCCACCTCTCCCTTACCAAAGTGCAAACACTTCTGTGTGGTGCCTCGTAGATACCTCAGAATCCACTTGATCGCTTCCCAATGAGCTTTTTCTGGATTCGACATAAACCGGCTGACCACTCCCACTACATGGCTAATGTCTGGTTTCGTATAGACCATTACGTACATCAAACTTCCAATAGCTGAGGCATAAGGGACCTTAGCCATACTCTCTTTCTCTTCTTCTGACTGAGGAGACTGATCATTCGATAGGTGAAAATGGCTGGCCAAGGGTGTGCTCACTGGCTTGGCGTCGCTCATGTTGAATCTTTGCAAAACACGGTTGATGTACTCCGTCTGAGATAACTGCAAGAGACCTCTCTTCTTATCTTTCGTGATTTGCATTCCAATGATCTTCTTTGCTGGACTCAAGTCCTTCATGTCAAACTCCTTTGACAGCTGCTGCTTCAAATTCCTGATATCCTTCTTATCTGCACCTGCAACTAGCATATCATTAACATACAACAGTAGGATGATATAACTGGACTGATATCTTTTGAAGTAGCAACAGTGGTCGGCGTTGCACTTCTGAAAATCTTCCTTGTGCATAAAGCCGTCAAACTTCCTGTACCACTGCCTTGGGGCTTGTTTCAGGTCATACAAG